TCTTGACGTTAACTGATCAGGAATCAAAAGAATTGGATACAACTAAACTGAAGACACAAGTACTGGAGGAATGTCCTGCCGAAAATAAGGATTCTGCTTCCCAAGCAGGAGCTCAGGATGCCTCCCAAAGCCGGAAAAAAGTACGTGTGAGCCGGCCAACAACAGTTGTGAATGGGAGTGATATTTACATGTTTGCTGGAACCTACAGTTTTGAGGTTACTGAAGGCGTTGATCAGACCGCTGCAGCAGCTAAATGGGGACTTTTGGTGGCGAGCGGCAAAGTCTGTAATGATGGGAGCAGCGATAAAAAAATTTATTGGAACGACGCTTCCGTTATCCCGTGGACTGATTTTGAAAAGCAACACGAATCCTTGACACGGCTGATTGGCGGCGGCGGATCGGGTGTTCAGATGAAGGACGGTGCGCTTGTGTTGCCCGTGGAAGGCACGAAGGATGGAAAGGCCGTTTCGCTGATCATATACTCCTCAGAAATTGGGAGTGGGAAGCTGTCGAAGGGGATGTCTGCCGATGGCTGCAGTGATCCCTCCGTCGTGGAGCGGGAGAAGGGAAAACTCATGATGATGACTGCGTGTGATGATGGCCGCCGCAGGGTGTACGAGTCCGGTGACAAGGGGGAATCGTGGACGGAGGCTTTCGAGACACTCTCGCGCGTGTGGTTCAACAACCAAAAGGGAAATGAGAAGCGCGTTAGGAGCGGGTTCATAACAGCGACGATTGAGAACAGAAACGTGATGCTCGTTACTCTGCCGGTGTATGCCAAAGAAAAACAAAAAGAAAATAAAAAGGGCGAACTCCATCTTTGGCTGACGGACAATACTCACATTGTTGATATTGGGCCGGTGTCCGGGAAGGACGAAGACGTCACCGCCAGCTCCCTGTTGTACAAAAGAGCTGGAAGTGGAAATAATAATAATAATGAGAAGTTGATTGCATTGTACGAGAAGAAGAAGGGCGATGGGAAACCATCACTCGGCATGGTCTCTGTGCGTCTGACTGCGCAGCTGCAGCGGGTGAGGGATGTGCTGGCGACCTGGAAGAAAGTGGACGAACGTGTCTCCAAGCTGTGCCCCACTTCAAGTGCTGCGGTGAGTAAATCATCTGACACTGCCTGCACTACCGATAAGGTCACGGATGGGCTGGTTGGCTTTTTGTCCGGCAATTTCTCTGATAACAAATGGAGGGACGAGTACCTCGGGGTGGACGCCACAGTAAAGAAAGGAACGAATGGGGTGGCAACATTGCATGGCGATGGAGTGACGTTCACAGGAAGCGGTGCAGGGGCGCAGTGGCCTGTTGGCAGTCAGGGGGAGAATCAGCTGTACCACTTTGCAAACTACAACTTCACTCTTTTGGCGACGGTGTCCATCCACGGTGAGCCGAAGAGTGGCAGCGTCCCTTTGATGGGTGTGCGTGCAGGTACTGACGGTGGAAAAAAACTTATGGAGTTGTCGTACGGCAGTGGAAAGAAGTGGCAGGTGCTGTGCAGTGACGGAACAACCAAGAAGCTTAAAAGCACTTGGGAGACAGAGACACAGTACCAAGTGGGCATTGTGCTACAGAACGAAAAACAGGGCTCCGTGTACGTCGATGGTCAGCGTGTGTGTGGGAGTGCGCAACGTGGATTGGAGGCAACAGAACCGCAAGAGATCTCCCACTTCTACATTGGAGGGGATGGAGGCAGCACAGGGGGCCAAGGAGACGTCTCTGTGACTGTGAGGAACGTCATGCTGTACAACCGCCCGTTGACTTCTTCTGGCCCCGATGCCGAAGTGGAAAAAGATGTTGCGTCACCAGCGGGAGCTGTTTCTCGTACCAAAACAGGGGATGAACTGAAAACGGAGGGGAAGCCTGCCACCACACAGCAAGTGCCGACGGCTCCGGGGTCCCATGCCGTTGGAGAAGCAACGGGTGATGCTGGCAATGTTTACAGAAGCGGACTGCTGCCGCTGCTCCTTCTGTTGGGATTGTGGGGGTTTGCGGCTCTGTGAGGAGTGACTGGCTGCCGCGTGGAATACCTGCGCCCTCTCGAGCACAGAAATACTATTCCCCGATAAATAATATCTCTCATACTTTTACTTTTTTTTTTTTTTGCGTATTTTAAATTTATTTTCCTGTTTGCTTCTTTTTTTGTTTTAAAATTCTTTTTTTTTTTCTGTTCGTTTTTTTTCTCATCCCCCATCCCTCTTTTTTGCTTTCGGGGGCAATCACTGTGGACGTTTTTTCTTTTCTACTCTTCCCTCTTTTTTTAATTGTTTCTTCTGCACTCTTCCTGTGAGGGGTGCCGTGTGTTTCCCGCCCAACTGCTCCACTCGCACACCCACCGACACGCTCATGACGACGGCCCTGTGCGCCTCGCCTGCTGCACGCATGAGGAGGGGCCGCGACGAACGGCGCGCTGAGGGAGCCGTGACGTGTGGGCGTGCGACGAGGGCCGGTGGGGCGGAGCACACATTTCTTTCCCTCTTGTTTTGTTTTCTTTGCGGTCAGGGCGGGCAGACACCCGCAGCGCCACACACACAGCCACACCCTGCCGCCGTGATTTTAAGATTTTTCGCTTTTCGTGTGCATTTCTCGCGCCGGCAGTCCCTTTGGTGTCGGACTCGTGAGCATTTCTCTCCCCTCTGATGACTTTTTTTCTTTTTTTGCGCTCACTCTCCCCATGGAGGGACGCGACTGCCGTCATGTCTGCGTGCTTCTCTCAGTCCCCCCACACACACGAGTGACTGTGCTCTGCGGGCCGCACTCACACGCCGATGAAAGGGCTGAGGGGAGCAGCAACACGCAGATGACCCCATGAAATATAAACGATGTGCGGACACGCAGAGAGTCAGACGGCCGAAACACACGTAACCATCTTTTCAATTTTCTTTTCCGGGCAAAATATATACAGACAGTTTGGTGTGGCCACACGGCAGTTGGCTGCTTTTTAAATTTGTGTGGAACAGTAATGGAAGATTTCTTTTTTATTTATAATTATTTTGTGTGATGGGGTTTGTATAAGACGAAGGGGGATGTTTTTTTTGTTTTAAATAAATCTTGTGTGAATTGTCGCAGCTTGGGCTGCGGTGCAGTCATGAGTTTGGGCGGTCTTCTTGTTGTTTCCGCCGTGCACCTCCGCTGTACATTTTTGTGCGTCTCTCCACATGCTCTGGTCCCTCTTTTCTACTTTTATGCATTGTGTTTCTGCAGGCACACACAACCAAACACAAGATGCACATTGCAGTGGATTTGAATACTTCTTTTGTAGTGCATGCTGGCAGTTGCGTGTGGCGGCTGTTGTCTTCTTCCGTGGCCATGAGGAGAAGGGAGGGAGGGAGTGCGCAGCCCGAGTCTCTTTTCCTGCGGGTTGTGTTGCACCGCGTGTGACTGCGCTGAGTTGGGCTCCGTGTCCCATTGAGGGCGGGATGGCTGGAAATTTTGATGCCGCGTCATGGATGGCTGAGGGTTTGCTTGCGGTTGTGGCTGGTGTGGTGGGTGCTCGCTACGTGTGCGTTGTGTGGTGGCCGCGGGGTTTTGGCCATTTCCCGTTGGCTGTGGGAATGAGCTGGGGGAGATGGTGGTGGATGTCTTCTCCTGCTGCATGGTGGGTGGCTGCTGGCGTTGTGTGCCTTCCTTGTGTGGATGCCGTCTCGTGGTGTGTGAACTGTGCGGCTGGGCCTGCTGCCCTCTCCTCATGTTGTCTGCTCTCTCTCGCTGTATCCGCGGTGCTCCGTCCATCTCCCTCTTGTTCCATTCCTTTCCTTCTGTCTCACGGATCAGCTGATTGGCTCCAGCGACTCCACTACGAGTGGCGATGACTGCGATGATGACGATGATGACGGTGCGGCGCCGTGTGGTGTGCGCCGTGTTGGTCTTTGCGCTCTTGTGCTGCTGCTGCACGTCCGTGTGCGTGACGGCGACAGGAGACGATAATAATGATAACAGCAGTCCTCCCAGCCCTAAGGCAGGGAAACCAGATCTTACAAAAAATGCCCTTGGTGCATTACAGCCAGATGGTGAGGAAGCCGGTGGGCCACAGAGAGAGAGTGGGAGAAACAGAGAGGAAGGTTTAAGAAGTCAAGGACCTTCTTTGCCAACGGAAGCAGGCACGGCCATCACTGGACAGACACGAGTTCCGCCAGAGACAATGAGTTCGGCTAACGATAATCCAGAGCCACCAGGTTTGGCAACTCAGTCTCCACACACACACACAAGGTGCGACCGGTATGTCAGATGCACAAAATAAAAAAGCGCAGTAAATACACAAGGTGATGAGAATCATAAGGCACAGATATCAAATCAGAAGATCAAAATTTCAAATGTAACTACAACGACTACAGAGGCGCCAACCACGACGACCACCCGCGCACCGTCACGTCTTCGCGAAGTCGACGGCAGCCTCAGCAGCTCTGCGTGGATGTGTGCCCCGCTGCTGCTCGCCGTATCCGCGCTGGCGTACACCACTCTGGGCTGAAGAATTGTATGCGGGCTGTGCGTGCCAGCACTCCACCGCGTGGATTTGTGCGCGTCCACTGTGGTCCGATGCAAATAATAATAGAAAATAATGATTGTGATTTGCTTCATTTGCTTCCGCTGCCCTGCTGTGTGCTCCGCGTTGTTGATCCCTTTCTCCATCACGTTGAACGCATCCCAGGCAGACTCATATGCACGACACGCATACAACTTTTTGCGTGGACGCATTTTTGGGTGCGTGTGCATGCACACTGGAGCCATACTTTGCAGGTTTCTGTTTTTTGTTTTTTTACTGTTTTTACTTCATTGCTGTTTGTTTGATTTTTGTTTTGTTTTTAATTGTTTTTTGTGTTTTTCTTTTTGTTAAATTATTTCAGGGCGTTGTGCGTTTTTTAGCACTTCCGTTGTTTTACTATTTTTTACTTTGTTGCTGCTGCTGTGGCTGTGTGACTTGTCTCTTTTTGCTTTCACTCTGCGTTGACGGGGCGTTAGTTTGTGCTGAAGGCTACACGCAAGTGACAGGGGTGATGGCGATGATGATGACTGTCCGTGTGCTGCTGGTGTGTACCCTCTGCCTGCTGTGGTGCGGTACTCCTGGCGGTAGGTGTGAAGGGGAGGATACTCCAGGCTCTGGGAGTGATGCGCAACTGGATGGTGCTGAAATTCTGCCGGAATCAGAGGAACCTGTAACTTCTCCAGAAAGCTCCCAAGGCTTACCACATGGAGTACCAGGCGTTAAAGAAAATGTACCACCCGCATTTCCCACACCTACAGATGAAGAGGATGATGATGAAGTTGATGGTGAAGAGAATGAAGATGAAGAGAAGAAGACTCAAGAAGAAAGTATAGAAGGGCAGGGTGATAAAGGAGGAACAGGTGTAATAGGCTCAGGTTCCAGGGAAAATAATTTAAGTGGCAGCGGGCAGGAAAAGAACCAGGAAATTTTATCTGCAGAAGGCATTTCTCATTCCAAAAGTCAGAAATCAAATGCCAATCCTACGCAACCGGAATTTGAAGAAAAGAAGGAAGCCGACAAGAGAACACCATCAGCAGAGAATCCACTCACAACAGGTAACGGAGAGCACACACTGCCTGAGGGAATTGCGGAAGGAAATCCTCCATCGCCTCCAGAAGGGAGTGTTGCTTCCCGCAAACAGGACGGCGAAGACACCAAGAGTGAAGATAAAAAAAATGTTCCACCGCCTGCGACCGCAGCCACACCACAAAGACACCGAAACAAAGGCTCAGAAGGGACTGGGGAAGATACAAAAGCAACAACAGTAGCCGCCAACAAAACAGATACGACGAATACACAAAACAGTGACGGCAGCACCGCGGTCTCCCACACCACCTCCCCTCTTTTGGTTCTTTTTCTTGCGTGTGCGGCTGCGGCTGCGGTGGTGGCCGCGTGAGAGTGAGGGAGAGAGAGCCGTGCACCGCCCGCACACACACTCGTCCTTCTGTCTCTATCTGTGTGTGTCCGCTTGCATGGACTCTCGCCCTCACCTCATCCCACGAAGCACACACATAATGTGGCCATTGTATATATTGCATGCACACCCATGCAGGCCCGTTGGTGCTCTCTTTTGCACGACACGCACCGCTGCCGTCCTGCCTGGCTGCATGGGCGGAGCACCGTAACTGTTTCTGTTTTGTTTTTATTGCATTGTGTGGGCGACCTCTCTCTCTCTCCCTGTGTGTGTGTTTTGCTTTACGGGAGCAATGAGAGTGTGTGCGCTGGTCGTCCCACGCTTTGTTTTGTTTTTTTGTTTTGCTTGTGTTGTGGTTGAGTGCATCCATTACTCCTTTTTTGAGGAGCTTGTGAAAAGAATGATCGTGGGAGAGCTTGCTAACTTAATTAATTTATGTGTATTTCCTGATAAATGAAGGCATTCTTTATGGTATTTTCTGCCGTATGAATCTTTTGGGAAGAACGTGACCTTGTAGGGGCAGGGAGCCGATAGAGGCCAGATAATATTTGTTTTTATTTTTTAGAGACACAGCCAGGTAAGTTTAAGGAAATGGCTTTGGTTCCCTACACACCCTCCGAGTGGTGTGGTATTGGCTCCCGTCTCTGGGACATGGTGTGCCAATGTGGCGAGACCCAGGTGCAGATGACGTTCATTAATGGCAATCATATTTCGGACGAGACGTTAACTGTGGCCGCATCATCGACAGGCTTATGCTTGTTCCATGGACCTACCTCTAAAGCATGACAGGATTCTACTCTTATTGGAAATATTGCGAATCTCCGGGCGCCTCGGATCCCGAATTTCGAGACACAAGCGCTCCTGCCCGCTATGGGGGCAGCCCGGGAGTTGGGGCACCAAAAAGGGCTCATCACTGCTGAAAGGAGCGCCTGAATTTTGATTACACGAACGCCGTCGCGGACGTGCAGAATCGGAATGCTCAGCTTAACTCGGAGGTTGAGGAGGCGCATATTAACCTATCGGTGAGGGATCCAATATCGCCGGGGCCGGCACCCAGTTCCTAGAACTACAACGGCAATTGGAGAACACTCGCGCACAATTACGGGAGCGCGAATTCAACTTGGAAGGGCTCACGGGTCAACTCCAGGAACGGGAGGCACGCCATAATGCACAACAACCCGCGCGGGATGCGGAGACGGCGGGGCGGGACGAGGCCCCCGCTACTCGACACGTTGCCAACGATGGCGTATCTACACTACCGCATCAAACGGATATCTTGATGGCTGGAGGCGTGCCTAGCAGCGCGGCCCGACACATTTCGGCGACTTACAGACGCCCTCACGGCAACGTTGGGAGACCACATTTCCACCCTTCCACGCCGTTGCCTTCCCGCACTTCTCCCCTGGAAGCCCAATCACCTATGGAAGAGGACCGCGGTTTCTGCGCATTCGACGTCACCACGCGGCCCACGCGTATATGGAATGAGGGCGCCTCCGGAGTCGTTTTCGACCTCCGGTGCGCATACCAATGCTGGCAACAGGACGACGAGCAGGTTAAACTTGCCTTTGACAATTTGGTCGAGTGGATCGGCGTGCTGGAAGGTTGGCAGGATCCCACCGATAGCTTCATGAATTTGGGGAGGTCCCTACTGAATACATTCCGGATGCAGCTCACGATGGCATCCGATCCCGGCATCCGGCTTTCCAAACTGCGCGCCCGTCTTTAGACCGCTGTTCACCAGACGGACACCAATGCGAAGGCAGTCCAGCCTCTCGTCGATCGGCGAGTAACCCGACGCACTTTGCGATGCCAACGATGCCATACCTATGGACACGAGGCGTCTACATGCAACGTGCGCCCCAGAAGGAATTACTCGCGGCGCGGATGGCCGTCAAAAAACGGCAGTGGGGCTGCCGCACGCCGCTCATGAATGCTGGCGACGGCAGCCCCATCCAATCCGCCACCTCCGGCTATTACGCACGGACGTTGCACCGCACCGCTGACGCTTCATCCGATCTTTCAAATTGCCCGACGCAATCGTCGGGAAGGGCAATGGAGCTTATCCGTAAACGATGCTCGACTGTGGTACGACGAATCACCGACATCCCCGCTTTGGGCCAATATGAGGAGGGCGAACGAGGTGGCTCGATAAATGTGTGTGCCGTCAACGTGGGAGCAGAGAATGTCCCTGGCGGGGCAATTTACAGCCTTTTGCCACACGCACGAACTGCCGATGAACAAGGAGAGCTGCGCGGCCTTTTTGGTGGGAATGTTAGATGTGGCGCCATCGACCCGACAGCAGCACGCCAGGATGCTGCGGTCCATGTTGGAAATGAATCGAACCCCGCTGGGCATGATGATTCTGGGGTTACAAAAAATTGCGGCGCGATGGGAGACGAAACAGGCGCGCCCCTTAACAGAGGAAGAGATGAATCAAGTTATCCGCAGCCGGACCGATTGGAGGGAAAGTGTTGTCTTACGACTTGCGTGGATAACGGCGAGTCGTTTGTTTGAGATTGCATCCTTGACACCCAACAATTTTACACTGGAGCCGGACGGGACCTTAATTTTGGATTGGTCCGTGGCGCCGAAGACGGCGAAAGCGGATCCCCACCGCGCCTCGCGGTCCGTGAGGATACGAGGGCAGGACGCGTTCGACACTATAAAGCTATGCAGAACACTTCAAGAGAACGAAAAGCTCACGAATATTACGGCTGCCCACGTGGGGCGAGCTCTGGCTCCTTGGGGTGCCACGGCGCATTCCATAAAACGCGGTGCGTTGAGGCACGCTGCTGAAATCGTGGAGACGTACAATTTGGACCCACACGTGATCTCGCAGTTGGTGAAGCACGTCAATCCGTTCGAAATTCCCCAGAATACTGTTCGATATTTGAGGAGGTACACCACAATGCTGACCCAGGTGTCGTCGCTGGTCGCATTGATGTGAAGGGAGAGACCGCGGAAGGGCAGTAACCCTGGTTGAAAGGAGAGAAGCGTTTTTCCATGAATTTCACCGTTATGCTGCCACAATGAAGAGACGCGCGACAAGGACGCGTCTGGCTACCCCACAAGATGAACACGCTACCCCGTTACAGCGAGTCAACGTGCCCGTATTGAATACCAAATTGGATCAAGAGCCGGTTGAACCCGGCTACCTTGGAGAGTCTCATGCAAGTTTGGGGACTCGTCGGGCGGTCCCCTTTCCCTCCGTCTTCCTCAGGTAAAGCGTGCGAAGGCTCACGGAGGCTTCCAACCGCTGACGCGCATTTGTTACGAAAAGCAGGAATTATCGAGGACGCTTCGTCCACAATAACAGGCGGATGAATAATACCTTTCTCGGTTGTGGAGGAGAAAACCACCGGTTTACGACGACGATGGATCGCGTGGCCACGCGACAAAAAGAGAAACGACCCATATGAGGCTCATGCTCCTCTTTTACACATTTCTTATTATTTGCCGCCTGTGATGGCCTAGGCCGCTTCCTGCCTGGACTTAAAGGCATCCTTTTTTCAGGTCTCTTTACCGCGGGAGACTCGGCATCACTTTCGGTGCCGCGTGGAGGACGGCACGCTGGTGGAGCTGACACGGCTCCCTATGGGATGCAAGGCCAACCCAGAAATTCTCCAGATTATTACCTCGGCAATTGCGGGGGTGACGACGGTGGTTCACCGCCTCTGGGCTGCACCTCCATTGGTGCGTGTCGTCGTATGGATCGATAATATACGCATTGCAGTGTCGAAGAGCGATGCGACATTGTGGGAAGCCCAAGTGCTTCGTAATGCGGACAGTTGTCACGCCACGATAGGGGAGGATCGCGAATCGGGCGCTACGCAGTACACCTTTCTGTGGGTGCAGTTTGATCACACTCACCGGGCAGTATCCCTGAGTGACAAGTTTGTCCGGTCTGTGCGCGCCATGTCGGCGCTCAATTTTTTCAAACATCGCGGAAATGGAGATTATGGCGTCACGCTTTTTGAATGCGGCTGCCATTTTGGGGACGCGTTTATGTGATTACTACTTTCTCATCAAGGCAGTGCGACGACGATTATCGGCAGTTAACCAAGGGATTGTGCAGGAGACATCCCCGGCGAACCTTTTGCCGTCAGCGGTTGGTTTGGGCGAGAGGTTACGACACATCATCGGGAATATAATCGTAAGCGAATCATCAAGCCCACGGAAAAGGCATCGGCCGCCATCATCGCGGATGCATCGCTCCATGGATGAGGAGCCGTTTTTATTTTAGACTCCGGCGACGTTAAAATTGCCGGAGGAAAAGTGGAGGAGGAAGCCTTTTCTTATCATGCAGGCCGAGGCACGCGCGGTACGCCTGGCCTTATCGACCTTTCTGCCATCTTGCCACCCACCATGGACTTTTGGGTGGACAACACTTCGCTGCAAGGAGCGACGAATAAAGGCAGCTCGAAATCGCACGCGCTGACGTGGGAGCTGCAACGGATATATGAATTTTTGGACTCTCGCGGAATACAGGCATCCTTTGCATACGTACGGTCAGCAGAAAACCCCGCAGACGGCGTGTCACGCGGTCGTGTTTTTACACTTCAGGACTTGGCGAAGGGGTGGAACTTGCGAAGGGGAGCGGCGGTGTCTTGTGGCTGCAGGACCCCAAACTCTGCCACTTCGTAAGTAATTATATTTAAATCCTAACTGAGAACAAAGGACCATGCTAGCGGTCCACAGAATTCGGTATATATTGAATGAAAAGAAAACATTGAAGCAATTAACTAACGAACCTTTTTTCCTAACTTGTTTGGTTTCCATAGATTATTTCAGGATCCGGCCAGCTGCCCGGAAGATTATTCCCTGTTAAATTTCACGACAAACGCAATGCGCTAATTTCCCCAATTATTTCCTCAACTTTCTCCCCTATCCCTTTTCTACAAGATTATTGTATTCTCATTTCTCGGATTTTACCTGCAAAGTCAGGTGCTAACAAAAACTGTTATTAGCGCACCTTTTCGTGC